TGCAAGCATATTATATGTTATATTACATGTAAGCATCAGGAGACTTAGACTCTTAAGTTAAACAGATTTGTATAAAAATTTCTAGTTATATTTCTTGCAAAATAAAATTTATTTTCACTTCATACAGAGGATATCAACATACCAAAATTACCAGCATTTTTTTTTTTGAAAGGTAGTCACCTATGATGCCAAAATCAGGACTCTGAATTCAAGGCCTGATCTGATCATTAAGTAATGGGTCCTCTCACTGAGAGCTCGTTCAGAATGGTGTCTTGTGAAGCAAACGGTCCCTCTGAGAGCACATGGGCTTTCACCTCCAGTAATAAAATAGTCCTCCCTAACCCTTACTGAAATGTTCCAGTTATAAACAATGGTGTTTAGTACATAGAAGATCTTAAATAATCTATATTGAATAAATAAATCTATATTGAACTGTGGAAGTAGTCCACAGTTCTCCAAATGCCTGGACACTTTCATGTCTGTACTTTAAAAATAAATGCCTTTGTTTTGGACACTAGTTTAGAAACATCTCAGTATTAAGACATTTATTCTTTTGTAACAGTACGTGTGACCAACCACGTACCCACAGATTTAGGCTATTTTATTTGAAATTTTTTATTCCTGATTATATTTCAGCTGATTATTCCATTTGGGTCTCTAAAACTACATTATGAAATACCTTAATTATTTAAATTAGGAACAGATTAATTATCTCCAGTGTACAAACTCAAATTAATTTCATTATTAACTTGAGTTTTAAATTGATTAATCTTGGAGTGTTTAAGGAACCAAGTGAAATTTTTTTTAACCTTAAGGAGAAGGGCATATTTGATTGTGATGAATCTCTCTTCATCACACCAATTATGCTAATAGAAGTAAGAAATTTGCAAGAAAACTTTGAAGAGATTTTATAAACCAGCCAGAAACCCGTGTGTCTGGGGTTTCTGGGGGAACAATCTGTGAGTCATTTTAAAAAACAAACACACTCATCATCACAGTGCATGTTGTTGCCATGGTAATTAGGCCTGTTGAGTTGGCTTGCTCATGTTCCTGTAAAGGGAAAAAGGGGAAAGAAACTGAGAATTCAGAGCTTTGCCTATCAGCTTTAAGTATTGCAAGAGAGAATATAGGGTGTTCTTGAAAACATATTGGCAGTCATCCTCAGAGGGAAGTGATGAAACTCTGGCATCCTGCCTTTGTTATTGAATGTAAGTTAGCCATGTTAGTGTTGGATGTTGTGATTCACAGGTGGGGAAAGGACCATTTGGCATTCTCCTGAGAAGGGGAAAGATAGGGTTTTGTATCTGATATATAATTACACATAAGTCTCTAAGGTCTACCTGGTGATCTGTCTTGTATGCAGGTGCATAGGGCTTTAATGATCTCTAAAAGGCATGAAATGCCACTGGCATAACATTATCGCAGATTTAAAGGATCTTTAGTGCATTATTCTAATATGGTTAGAGGCCGGTTTTAGTGAGGCCCTGTTTCAGATCTGATCCCCAAGTAGACCAGATATCTTTCCTGTATTTTGTGGAGTAGATGGGACTCCTTTTTCTTGGACAGCCATCTTGTAACGCGGGCCCCTAAGTTACAGAGGAGACCGGGAAGGTTATGTGAGCTCTGCCAAATCTTTCACCCCTCCAGGGGAAAATAAATCAAAAACTCTGTTGATGGACAGTCGACAGAGTTATTGGGCCAATAGAATTACCATGAGAGTGATTCATTATGATTCTATATGGGGACCAAACAACACCCTTAAAGTAAAGCTATGAGTTAGTGCATATACAAAACTGTTTTTAAAAATGCTTCTAAGTTCACTTTAAGAAGTTCTATGTATCCTCTTAAATGGAGAAATATACAGTAGTCCCTCATATCTGTGCAGGCTACATGTTAAGACCTTCTCCCAGTGGATGCCTGAACTGCAGGTAAGACCAAACCCTATATATTATGTTTTTTCCTCTACTTACATAGCTTTCCCTTACCAGAAACACTTTACATGTTCTCTTTGGCCTATCTGAATTGCCAGCATCATTACTCTTGTGCTTTGGGACTATTATTAAGTAAAATAAGGGTTACTTGAACACATACCTTGAGATACCATAACAATCAACCTGGTAACTGAGAAGGCTACTAAAAGCAGCTAATGGGCAGGTAGCATATACAGCATGGAGACTCTGGGCAAAGAGATGATTCTCATCCCAGGCAGGATAGAAGGGGATGGTGCGGGATTTCATCACGCCACTCAGAATGGCATGTCATTTAAAATGTATGAGATGTTCATTTCTGGAATTTTCCATTCAGTATTGTTGAACCATGTTTTATCATGAAAGTGAAACCATGGATAAGGGGGAACTACTGTGATACATTGACTAGAGTTGTTGTTTTTTTTTTTAAGAGTATTCCTCAAGCAGATTTTAAAGCAGATTTTATTTAGAGTTAAGCAACTCTCCCTTATTAAAACTATTTTTCAAAAGGTTTCAGATAAAGTGCCATGGGGTGTGACTAAGGGTCATACAAACTCAGGGAGTTTGTGTGTAATCTGTGCACTGGCATATGATGTAACAACTAGTTCTCATAACTACAGATTTCATTTTTTTCTCATATGTGGAAAGAGGGCAAACATTGCCCAAACTTATTCTGTGCTATCTTAATTTTATTAACATTAGTAAACAAAGCTTACATTTTTCTTCTGATAAAGTAATTCATGATAATTATTGAACATTTGGGAAATGCTTCAATTGTTAAGAAAAAATAAGAATGATTTTTCCCATTAATCAGGTTGTTGGTTGAATTGCTTATAAGAGACCTGATTGCACAGTGGCTGACAAGAGCTAGGAGTTGTTTTTCTTTTGCATAACAATTCAGAGGTGTGTGGTCCAGGGCTGGTAACATAATCCTGCTCCACAAGATCAGCCTTCTTATAGCACATTTTTCTGTCATTCCTATCATGTTTCCCTTGCTTGATGGTCTAACATGGCTTGCCATAAGGAGCCTACTCTAACCAGCAAGAAGGGAGAACGTTGAAGGGGAAAGACATAACCCAGAGAGGCACATATCACTTTTGCAGCCATTCCTTTGAAATTTGACTCATGGCCACATGCCTAGCAACAAGGGAGGGTGGGAAAATAGTTATTTTTGACATGTATGTGGTATGTGCTTGCTTAGATTTCAATTATACACATGGAATAAGAAGAGAGCAGATATTGAGGCATATCCAGCAATTTCTGCTACTCCAAGAATGTCACATATGCAAAATATAGAATATGTATTAGAAAATATCATGTGTTTGTAAATATGTACATTAGAAAAAGAGTTGAGGTCATACTATATATAAAATTTTATATTCTCCTTCACTTAACTTTATATCATGTGCACTTTTCTTCATTTAAATGTTTTTGTTCATTGTTTTAAAGTGCCATCATGTAAAGTTTCTGTTTTATTTCATAGATTGTGTTTGGTATTCAGGCTCTTTTTAACACATGGTAATAATTCTTTTTCTACATTTTGGATTTTATTTACTTATTTTTGAATAAAGTCAAGGAGTAGCATTACTAAGACAATAATTGAGAATATATTTGAGGATCTTGATAAATAGTCCCAAACTGCTTTCCAGAGAGGTTCTGCTGATTTATGCTATCAGCAATAATGTATGAGAGTGCTGGAACACCCTCAGACAGGCTTATTTTGCAAGTCCCACTAATCATTGTTATCCCTAGGGCTAGTTCTCTGAAAATAGATTGTTTTTGCTCTTGGCTTGTTTTTTATTCCTTTGCTGTCATTAATCACGATAATAGTTTTCTAATAACTTTGGCTCATTTAAAAACATATGATCCCTTAAATTCATCCGGGAATGGAATTGGTTGGGTTGAGATTGTAGTACATGTGTCACTCTCTAGCAATGTGAGATCTCTAGAGACACTGATGTTCCTTTGGTCCTAGGACTCTGTGAGAATGGGATTTCAACCCTTAGTACTTAGTATCTTAGTAGATGGGAGGTACCTCTTTGTTCTGAGATACAAGAAAATAACGGTAAAGCACTCCCTGAGGCAGAGGCAATTTCTTTTGAGCTAGGTGCTGGGTAGCTTTTCAGGAGTAAAGGTGCTTTTGAACACAGGAACTTCCTCAGATATGAACCATACTCAGGCAATAGGCAAAATTAGGCTAAATCTTCTCAGAGGTCATTAGTGCCTCAGGGTACAGGTGTCTCTACTTTGTTTTTAAAGGTATGCTTTTTTTTTAAGATTGTATTTATTTATTTTTAGAGAGAGGGGAAGGGAGGAAGAAAGAGAGGGAGAGAAACATCAATGTGTGGTTGCCTCTTGCACACCCCCCACTGGGGGCATGGCCCACAACCCAGGCATTGTGCCCTGACTGGGAATCAAACCAGTGACCCTTTGGTTCACAGGCCAGCACTCAATCCACTGAGCCACACCAACCAGGGCAGGTGTCTCTACTTTTAAAAGGCCTGCAGGAGCTTTGGATGCTAAAGACACTTTTGCAACCACTACCTTGTTCATCTACCTTCTTACAGTGCTCAGTACACACAAAGGGTACTCCAACTCCGCCCCTAGCACCTAGGGAAAGAATGTGCCCTGTCTCGGCCACTTTGGCCCTGCTGGGAGCAAATGAGGGGAGGGCAGGAGGAAAGCTTGTTTTTATTCATCACACTGGTACACAGCCTCTGTAGCCGAGAACTCTGCTTCACCTAGGGATCCCAAAACAACTTTGTGTTTTCATGTAGTCTGGCAGGCTAGGGATGTTCACAAAGGAAAGAACTCCTATTTGCACAGATATATTTGTTAAAAGGAAAAGTTAATAAAATGTCTGCTTCTTGGCTCAGAAATGTAAACCTGTTAGACCTTCCTGCTCTTAGAGCCATTTGGCCATCACCACCCAATCCCACTTACAGAAACATTTGTTTGCTTGTTCAGCTCTCATGTATCATGTTATTTCTCCTTTTTCTAAACAACACATTCTCCTCTCTGCTTTTTTGACAGCCAGATCTGCCTGTGAGCCCCAGGCTTCGGGAACTGAAAAGGTAAGGATCCTGAAATATTTTCTTCTAGGATCTTTTTTAATGTAACCAGAACTTTAAAACCAAACTAAATATCTTAAGTGATGCTATGGATGAAAACATTTAACATATAATATTTATCAAACATTCATAGCATCTTTAGCAATATTGACAGGACTTCAGGATTTAAGGGAGAAAAAAACAATTCTCGAAATCAGAGTTCTCACCTAGATTCTCTGTTTTCTCTTACAAACCTGAGTTGGAGACCTTTGAGGTCAGTGCTTTTATTAAGAAAATGGATTCTTGTGGCACTAAACATGACTAATTGGGTACAGCCGTTGAGGACATAGCCTGCGAAAGAGAGACGTTAGCTAGATGAGAGATTAGATCAGAGAAGGGTAAACCCTGTTGTTTGCAGATTGTAAGGGCTTTTCCAGCAGCAACAACAATAACTGCAATAAAAGGTCAGTATAATGCTGGTGGGTTTCTTTTTCAAGAAGCCGAGTTGCTTCTGAAACTAAGTAAGGCCATTTTAATCTGGCTGTAGATTTTTGAAAGGTCACCATATTGCTGAGACAGGAGATAATGTGTGAGTTCTCTCCAACTAACATATACAGTTTCCTCTAATCAGTGAATTGGATTATCATCCTCTCTTTTAAAATTTAATGTTATTATGAAAAATTGCAAGCATGGACCAAAATAGAGAGAATAATATAATGAGTTTCCATATTCGTAATCATTTAATTTGAACAATTATCAACTCATGGCCAGTATAGTTTTATTATACACCCACCCTCTTTTCTTCTTTCCTCATTGGATATGTGACAGTGGCTTGAATTTGGTTGTTGAATCTTTAATTATTTATTTACATAATTATTCAGTGGCTACAGCAAAATGCTAATAAGAAATAAAACCTACTTATAACCTGGCTTAGTTTACTGGAGCTGGTCATTCATCCATTTATTCTTTCAACAAATATTTAGTATTTACTAGTGTCAGATCCTTCCTAGGATAAGAGAGCAGATTTTCCCCACCTCACATTTATGAAGTCCTCAGATTTGGACTTCTGACTTCTCCAAATGAGGTTATCTGCTGGAAAAACACTGATAGAATGAAAAGGTGACACTCATCATATAACTTTAATTGTTAAATGTCAACATTTGAAATGTGCTACAATTTTTAAATCCTGTTTTGAAATTTTTTTTCACTTAATACACTGGAAACTTAAAAACACAAAACACTTTTCCCAAGTCTTTTGTGTACCTTCTTATTTTATCATAAGTGTTTGTCCAATTATCTCCCTCCATTTCAAGAATATAGGCTAAGCTCTGAGAAAGCATTTTGCCTTCCATCTCTAGCAAGGTGTCTGGCACTTGTTATATATTTAATATGACTGTCAAATGAATAAACAAATGAATGAATGCCAGATACTGGGAATATGAAGATGAAAAACACACAGGCCTCGTCCAAGAGTTGCTAAGCTTGTAGGAAAGAAAATCTTGCAAAAAAGGAGCTCTCTCAGCAGAGTGCTCTGGGTGAGAGAGGAGAGGACTAACTCGGTGGGGAGTCTGGTAAGAGGCTTGATAATCAAGGGGACATTTATTTGAGCTATGACATGAAGTGCCCTCAGTCAGAAAAGTTAGAGAAAGGCATTCTGGAATAAGGAATCACATGTGAAAGTACACAAAGGCCCCAAAGAGCATAGTGGAACCTTTAGCAATTTATAGTGGTGACAGCATGGTTGGGATGTAGCAGACTGAAGAGATGTGGCTTGAGAAGCAGGCTGATGAAACTTACATAGGACTCCAAGTGCCAGGCCCAAGATGGATTCTAGTTTAGGTGGGAAGACAGAGAAGGGCACGTAATTCTTTTTAAGGATAATTCCTTAGGTTGCCTAGTAAAACAAAGATGTGGGGAGAGACTAATGGAAAAGAGACAGGTAGAGGTCTTGGGTTTAGAAATGATGGGAGAACTGATGGAGCTACTGATTAAAGATGAGAAGTGAAGGGACAGAAGACATCTGGAATAACTGCCAGACTTCCCTTTTGGGAAATGATACGGGTCATGATAACTGGGATACAAATATAGGAAGCAAAAATTCAACTCTGTGGAGTGAATACATCCAGGCAGATTTGTCCAGTAGGCTGCTCATAGATGGGTACCGAGCAGTGGTTCACAGTTCACACTGCTCATCAGAATCTCCAGGGGAAAGTTTAAAAGCGCTCATACGCAGGCCCTAACCAGACCAGCTGAATCAGAATCCCTGGGGGTGGGGCATGGGCACCTGCAGTTTTTAAAAGCTTTCCACGTATATTAATGTGCGCCAAGGTTGAGAATCTCTGGTCTGGAGTTTATTAAAAGAAAGGCCTTCATATGTCTGCTTTCAAGACCATGTATAGCCTTTGACACTCCATAATGAGGTTCTTTTGGGGTTCAGTACTTAACATCTGACAGGTAAGTGTTGGGCCATCCCTACATTTGCCCAAATTTTACTAATAATGAAGACTGTTTTTTAAGCGTTTGATATTCTTTGTCTGACATTTAGGGTGATTTCTTCAATGCTAATAAATGTTCTCAAATGACTTAAATCAATCCAAGCAGAATTTCTCAATGGGGGCCGCAGGCATGTTGAATGGAACAATTCCCCACTGTTCTCTTTGTTACCCTGTCCTTGGCTCACATAAAGCCAAAGGCATCTTCCACTCATTGTGATATTCAGAGACATTGAGAACTACTGTGTCCTAGCATACAACTTTAAAGAGGTTATGTGGCATTTTCCACTCTCACCTAAAAGCACTTTTTGCTCCTTGTAAAATTATTGGTTTCAGTTATTCTCAGTGGTTCTTTATGTAAATGGTCTGCATGCTAACCAACTAAGGAAAGAAACTAAATAAAGTAGATGTGTAAAAGGAAGTATTGTTTTGTACTGTTGGAGGGATTTTGAGTGTATTTGCTCTAGGACTAAATCTATTTTTTTAAGTCTATACAGAGAAGCAAATTAAACATTAGGTAGGCAATGGTCAAATATTGATGTTTAAAGCAAAGTGCTACTAAGGCAACATGCAAATTGAATAGCAACAATGATGAAGAATGTATTTATTTCTGATTGCTGCTATAACAAACCATTGCAAACAGTGGTATAAAACAAGACAAATTTATTACCTTATAGCTCTGTAGCTTAGGTTCCGTAGGGATCTCTCTGGGCTAACAGCAAAGTTTCAATAGAGCTGCGTTCCTTTGTGGAGGCTCTAGGGGAGAGTTCACTTCTTTGTCTTATGGCTTCTAGAGTCCACTTTCCTCCATCTTCAGAGGAAGCAACAGTGCATTGCTGTGGCTTTCTACCATAATTACATCTAATTCTGAACTCATCCGGGAAACTACTTTGATTTTTAAGGTCTCCTATTATAAGATGTGGCACACCTGGATCATCTAGGATAATCTCCCCTTTTCAAGGTCCTTAATTTAATCCCATTTTCAAAGTCTCTTTATTCAGGTAAGGTTACATATTGACAGGTTCTAGGGATTAGGACATGGATCTATTTAGGGGCTATTATCTGCCTACTCCAAAGTAATTAATTGTTTTAGTGCCTCAGGTGACAGAGATAAGATTATCTAACATTTTATTGAGAAGTTTTAGGGTTTCCAAATTGATGAAGCAAGTTGGTGTCTTGACTTTGCAAATCCTGTTTTCTAGATACAGGCACTGATGCTTTTGGTTTTCTTGGAGTGCTTGGCATTGGGTCAAGTGGACCCAAAGGTTGAAGTCCAGGGGCTCCTTTCTCGGCCAGACTGTCTGGTACTATGGGTGTGGCCTCTGGAGACGGTGCTGCTTTGGCATTTTTCCAACTCTGAAAAGTTTGCCTATAGTGTGCAGGTTCCAAAGTTTTTGAATAGCAGCAAAGAAATGTGAGGTTTTTATTTCATGCTGTTATGTCTGCCTGTCATACTTTATTTATTAGTCTCTAAAAAGTGGAAACTGAGGGGAAATAATAACATAATAATTCAGAGCTTGACTGTAGTGGTATTTACTATAGCTAACTTCTAGGTATGGTTAAATTCCCTCCATACATTAGATAGGCCATCCCCCCCACAAATTAAAAAGTATTTCTTACCTAGTGAATGAAATGGATCACTGGGTTAACAGAATAGAATGTAGCTGGAGTTTTTGATGGAGATTTAAAATCTTGCAGCTATTTTTGTAGCAAGTCCCTTTTCTATCCACTTGTAGACACTTCAGCAATGCAGATCTGAGGGCCAAAGCTAGAGCTAGCAGAAGAGTAACAGACCATCCGTATTTGTCCAAGACTGAGGTATTCCCTGTACATGGGACCCAGTGCTGAAACTGAGAGTCTCAGGACAAATCGGGACAGCCGGTCAACCCAGATGTCTAACAAATGGCTCTAGTGGAAGGTGACTGTCAGGTTGATGAATTAAAATAGAAATTTTGATTGAATTAAACAATGACAACAACCTCAGGGTTTGAGTTGACAACAGGGGTTAATCTAACTCTTGGAAAATCTATATCCACATTTACATGTTTGCCCAAATCAACTTAAAAAAGAAAATCCCTAAGAATCAGAACTAAGAACCAGCAATATTTACCAAATGTATTTCAGAGTCCACCCTTGCAGTTCTCCAGTGTCACCAGCATGCTCCTGCATGATGCCTCTGGTGATCACAGCTTTAATTACTTTTGGAAATTATGGAAATTATAAAATCCAAGTTTGCCAAAGCAGCACAAAGCTCTCTTAGCTTGAATCCTACCTTTTGTGGAACAAAATTGGACGTTACCCCTGTAAAAGACAGCATAGACTATTCATTCAGGAATAGATGAGTATTAGGTAGTCTATCTTAAATGTTCCCAGGGGAAGAGATTGGAGTGGATAATGTCTTGGGGTCTTCTCAGGCTCTAAGAACTTGGTGCTTCCTGACTCCCTCTGCCCACCCTATTATAGAACTTAAACTTCATAATGATATAAGTGGCTACATCTGGGTAAAGACTTGTTTCCTTTCCTGCTTCCCCC